CTCTCCTCTCTTCTCCTCTCCTCTCTCCTCTCCTCTCCTCTCCTCTCCTCTCCTCTCTCCTCTCTTCTCCTCTCCTCTCCTCTCCTCTCCTGTTCAGTCAAAGTTTCTCCTCCTTGTTGTCACATGACTGTTGGTCTCAGATGAATCAATCATGACTTCATAGTTTCACTGAGGAGCTCACAATGTAATGTTTTTACACAATCTGGTTAAAGTAAACTCTTTGTTTGGGGAGATTTTAAATGACAACATGTAGAATAAAATGTTTTTTAATGAAATATCAAATGTTTAATCTTCGTTTTGGCTGCTTTAGCTGACGGAAGCATTCATCACACATGGTGTGTTCAAGGACCGCCTGAAAGATAAAGATATCAATAACTATGACCGTTTTTACAGCTTCTGGTTTTGATAAACGGTGTAGTTTTGGGGATTGTTTGGTTTTCGGGTTCAGAGGGTTAACTCGTTCTTTATCTGCACGCTGACACGCCGGCTTTATAAGAAGCTCTCTGGTTCAAACACACTCCCCTGAAAGCCCCTCACTGATCTAACTCTGGCATGGGATGAAAGACTGAACACCTTTTCTATAACTAAATTAATGAATTGGCTGTCGCTTGGAACTCAACGATGCAAAGCTCTCATTGGTTCATGTTTCGTTTGCACGGATGCTTCACTGCTCTTCTGAACTACTTTGTCTCATGAGTGTGTGTGTGTGTGTGTGTGTGTGTGTGTGTCGTGTGTGTGTGTGTGTGTCGTGTTTGTCTTCATGTGATTGTACCTCAACCCTTCGCAGCACGTATGCGAGGCCGACGACCGGGACGAGGTGGTGGTGTGCGAGTTGTGCGAGGCCAACGTGGCCAACTTCAACCAGCACATGAAGAAGAGCCACCCGGGCTGCGGACGCAGCGCCAACCGCCAGGGTTACCGAAGCAACGGCTCCTACGTGGACGGCTGGTTCGGAGGAGAGTGCGGCAGCGGTAACCCGTACTACCTGCTGTGTGGAGGCTGCAGAGAGAAGTACCTGGCCATCAAGAGCAAGGCCAAGGTCCCCATCGTGGAGAGGTACTGTTGTGTCACTGTGTGAATCAACAGCAACCACCTCCAAGCTGGCAACCCAGACCGATGACCAAGTGATTCTTTATTTTAGTGTCAGCAACGTCAAATCACATAGACGGCGACATGCACCCAAGTTTTCTTTTTCTTTCCAAGTTTTCGTTTTCTTTTGCTGGCATTTATCCATTTTAATGCCAGAGATCAGCCCCTGGTTCCTGCCAGCTTTATAATGAGTTAAAATGAGACGTCGGACTCATAGCTGAGTTTGTGCTGATACAGTAAGGAGACTTTTAAAGATGCTTATTAAAAGGAATGCAGACTGGACTCCATCAATGACTTAAATAACAGCGTTATTCTTTACCAATTTAAAATCCCTCAGTTTATTGACTGTTTTATATTCGAGTCATCAGGCAATATGTTTTATTTCTGTTTTATTTTGTTCTACTTTGTCAATGAAAGGAAGTAAAATGGAGCTCATGTCATTTTATTCTCTGATGTGTATTCAGGTATAAAGGACAGGCTCCGGACCTGCTGGGAAAGCAGGACAGTGTCTATGAAGGTACGGCGTGTTGTGATAAACAGATGTTTGGGTTCTCTTGTAAACAAGCTCAGTAATAGTGTTTGTTTTCAATTCAAACTAGATATTTCTTTTATAGTTTAGAGGGTAGGATTTAAATTTTGTTTAATATTTATTGTCGTTATTATCTACCTCATTGCCGGTGTTTTGGTTAAAGTATAAGTTGAAACATCAAAGTATGGTTTACATTTCGTCATTCGCAAGTGCCTTCATCATTTCAAGTGTAACTTGATGTTAATTCTGTGTTTGTCTTCAAATGCTCTGCGTCTGTCCGTCCCGCTGCAGAGGACTGGGACATGCTGGATGTCGACGAAGACGAGAAGCTGACGGGGGAGGAAGAGTTTGAGCTGTTGTCCGGACCGTTGGGCCTCAGCGAGCGCAGGATCGTCCCCGAGGCCGTCCAGTTCCCCGACAGCGACCCGCTGGGGGCCTCCGTTGCGATGGTGACGGCCAGCAACAGCATGGAGGAGACCCTGCTGCAGATAGGTGAGGACGAGAGCCCATCACAGCAACACGTGTGATGGTATCGGCCTGAAGTGAAGCAGTAAACTGACTGTGTGTTGTTGTTGTTCAGGCTGTCAGACCTCGGTGGATAAGAGTTCATCGGGCAGAGTGACCCTCGGCGAGCAGGCGGCCGCCCTCCAGAACCCCCACGACCGGGTGATGGCGCTGAGGAGGGTGACGGCTGCGGCCCAGGTGCTGCTGGCCCGGACCATGGTGATGAGAGCCCTGTCCCTGCTGTCCGTCAGGTACTCTTCACTAACCACTCCCTCTGGCTGGGCTCTGTGTTTACATCTTCATCTTCTTTGTCTTCTTTCATTCTTTATGGACACGCATTAGTTAAAATATTCTCAACTTTTCAGTGCGGAGTCGCACCGCTTGTCAATGTCACGCTTGACTGAGGCAGCCAGTCAAATCAAGCAAAAGGCGGGCTTTACTACTTTACTCCTGACTTCCTGATTTGATGCTGGTAGATGTGGTAGGAACGGACATTGATGTTAGCGATTTAACTATATAATTCCCTCCTCCTCATCCAACAGCAGAGCAACAGAGAGCTCGACATCTGCATTACATCTATTTGTTCTCCATTATTTCCGTTTCATCGCTCCACCGGCTCATCAGCTGTTTTGCCCGGCTCGCTTCGCCAAGAGGCGTTTTTGAAGCATCGCTTGTTGCGACTTGTTTCGCTGTGATCGGCCCCAAAGACACTTCGGCATTGGCTTCACTTTTCAGAACCAGAGGTTGCCGCCTCACTACAACCCTAAAAATGTCCTTGGCGGTTGGATGGAAGCAGCTTTCTGTCTGTTGTGTAATACGTGACTTCTCTCTCTTCCCTCCCACACAGCGGCTCGAGCTGCAGCCTCGCAGCCGGTCTGGAGTCTCTGGGTCTAACCGACATCAGGACTCTGGTCAGGCTGATGTGTCTGGCGGCAGCCGGCCGAGCCGGTCTGTCCACCAGCCCCACGTCGGGCTCCGGTCACGCCGAAAGGCCCCGTGGGGCCGCCAAGGCCAGCAAACCCATCTCCTGTCTGGCTTACCTCAGCACCGCGGTGGGCTGCTTGGCCTCCAACAGTCCCAACGCAGCCAAGCTGCTGGTGCAGCTCTGCACTCAGGTACTCCATGATTGATGATTGATGATTGACTGATTCAACACATCAGAGGCAAACATCAAATGTCTTTTTGGTGTCTCAGACAAGCAGCTAATTGATTATTGACTAAAAGTCTTTGTTTTTTGTGTTTTGGGGATTTTTTTTTGCCCTTTATATAGATTTAGGACAATAGAGAAGTAACTTGAACTGGGGATGTTGTATTTACTTTGTCATGGACATCCTTTGTTTTTGCTTGTTATTGATGGTTCCATGCTTCACCTACATTCCCCTGGGTCCTAAGCCCCTCCATGTACAGCTTCTTATCACCCTCTATGTACCAACGTACATTTATAACAAATACCACACATATTACGGTAATCAGCGTTGCATATGTGTCTGACCAAAATACTAAAAAAAGAAATGATTCCTTTAAATTATTTTTTTTAAGTTGTTATAATAAGCATATCATTTAGTTATCGCTACTGAGAATTCATCAAACATAAAAACATGACGTAGATAGGTTTGCAGTTTTCAAGGTGTATATTTCAAATTGCATCTCTTACACACATGAAGATAAAGTTGTGAACACCAGCTGAATATCTATTATCAGAATCATTATAACTGTGTTATAACTGCTGCTGTGTAAAGGGAATACTGCTGTTAACAAGAACCTGATTTGTTCAAAGTGTTTGCAAAACAAATGTTATTGCACTTTTGTTCATATAGCAGTACTTTTAAAATAAAAGGGCGCAATACACTACTTTTGAATGCATTATTGAATTTTGCGCATAACAATGCGATTAAAAATTGTAATCGTTGCCCAGCACTAATATATTTATAAAGGAATACTCTTTCCTCTCCAGAACCTGATCTCTGCAGCGACCGGCATGAATCTGACGATGGTGGACGACCCAATCCAGAGGAAGTTCCTGCCCAGCTTCCTGCGCGGCGTTGCCGAGGAGAACAAGCTCGTCACCTCCCCAAACTTCGTGGTGACTCAGGCTCTGGTGGCCCTGCTGGCAGACAAAGGGGCCCGACTCAGACCTGCGTATGACAAGGCTGATATGGAGAAAAGAGGTGTGTAGACTCAGAGTTTGTCTCATTGGGCTCTTCATCAATAATGTTTCATTTTTATGTTCATATTAGAGTAATCAAGCATCCTGAACATGGCAATGCCTCCGGTATTTAAGCCAAATTACGTACTTTTTTCTTACGTTATTGTAATTTAACCTTAAAGGGACAGTTCACTCCAAAATCAAAAACATATTTTTTTTTATTCCAACAGCTATGTCTCTGTCCATAAATCCTGACGCGTTTACTCGAGATAATCCACCGACCTTGTTGTGAGACGTTTCATGTAGGAACTATTTTCTTTCTGCTAAACTACACCTGCCAGCCGTATCACCGCTCAGAAGGAAGCATCTCCACTCGACACTGCTAGCTCACCTAACACCACGGAGCTAACATTGCATTAATATTGACATGTTGTCCACGAGAAGATGCACGCTCCCTTCTGAGAGGAGGTATAATTAAAGCCTGTGGTTCGGCAGAAAAAAAATAGTTCCTGCATGAAACTGATTTCTGGAAAAGAGACATTGCTGTTTAGTTTTTGAAATGTATTTTTTGCAATCAAAACAAATCAGTCTAGATTGATAAACAACTACAGGTAAGATGAAAATATGTATTCCAGTGATTCTGTCCTATCATGTGTTTTTCAACAAAATATAATGTCACAGAAATGTTCTCATAATTGTATCATCAGTGCTGTCTGTTCAGCTTCCATGACTCATGACTCATGACTCATTCTTGTTTCTTTATGTTCACTTGGGTCACTTTTTTTCTGTGCCTTTTGTGCTTGTCCTTTTTGTTCCTCCTCTCACTCACCGGGTCACCTTCTGTTCCGTGTCGAGCAGGTCTAATTGCGCATTTGTATGCCCACCCTTCCCATAATCCCTCCGCTGTAGGGCCTCTGGAGCTGGCCAACGCTCTGGCGGCCTGTTGCCTTTCCTCCCGGCTGTCCTCGCAGCACCGCCAGTGGGCCGCCCAGCAGCTGGTCCGCACGCTGGCCGCCCACGACCGCGACAACAACCACAGCCGGCCGCAGACCTTCGCCGACATGGCGGGAGACCTGCGGAAGTGCTCCTTCATCAAGCTAGAGGCTCACCAGAGCAGGGTGAGTCAACACGGGATCAGGAGTGTTCCCACAGCTGGGTTTGAGCTCAGAATATATATTAATAGAAACTGTTAGGTGTTAAGAAAACGTCTGTTTCACTCAGGTCATCACGTGCGGTTGGTGCAGTAAGAAAGGCCTGTTGGCTACGAGTGGCAATGACGGGACGGTGAGGATGTGGAACGTGACCAAGAACCAGTACACCCTCCAGCAGACCTGCATCTTCAACAAGGAGTAAGGCTTTCTCTAATCCAAATGTTCCACCTGCACAAACCTCGGTGTGTGAATGAAACCAGTGCTGCATTTGGAGGGAAGAGCTGTAGTACAGCTCTGGTGCCACAGAACTGATCTAAACATTACTTTGATCTCGTTTCTTTTTTTAAGTTATTTTTGTTGAACCCTCTAAACCCCAAACAGTTCCTCTCTGTGGTCTCACCTCAGTATAAAGTCCTGCTGCTCTATAGAAACAGAACCATCATGACTAGAAGTAGAGAAAACGAGAACGTGTCTTCAGTGCAGAATAACAGTTATGATGACATCAATCATAGAGAAGAAACAAAACACAAGTTGAATTTCTTTGATATTTTATTTTACAAAAATTGGTGAACAATGGAATCTATATATCCAACATGTGTCCACAAGTGTTACTAATGTTGGGAATAAATGGAGGCTCTCTGTGCTATATGTATTGAACTATTAATATTTCTACAGCCTCTTCTCCTCTCTCTCCTCTCCTCTCTCCTCTTCTCTCTCCTCTCTCCTCTCCTCTTCTCTCTCCTCTTCTCTCTCCTCTTCTCTCTCCTCTCTCCTCTCCTCTTCTCTCTCCTCTTCTCTCCTCTCCTCTCCTCTCTCCTCTTCTCTCTCCTCTCCTCTTCTCTCTCCTCTTCTCTCTCCTCTTCTCTCTCCTCTCCTCTCTCCTCTCCTCTCCTCTCTCCTCTTCTCTCTCCTCTTCTCTCTCCTCTCTCCTCTCCTCTTCTCTCCTCTCCTCTTCTCTCTCCTCTTCTCTCCTCTCCTCTTCTCTCTCCTCTTCTCTCCTCTCCTCTCCTCTCTCCTCTCCTCTCTCCTCTTCTCTCTCCTCTTCTCTCTCCTCTTCTCTCTCCTCTTCTCTCTCCTCTCTCCTCTTCTCTCTCCTCTCCTCTTCTCTCTCCTCTTCTCTCCTCTCCTCCCTCCTCTCCTCCCTAATTCAAATGAATGCTAATGTTCTGTTGATGTGTGTAAATAGGCGACAGTTTGCCAAAACGTTCCCCATAACAACTTTTCATGAGGTGATAATATGTGCTCACATTTCCCCATAATAACTTTATGAGGTTATAATACGTCAGATGTTTTTATTTTGTGCCAAATATGAGAATGTGTTGCAGCTTAAAGTGTTGGGTCTCATGTGTGTTGATTCTGTGTCTCCTCTCATCAGTGACGGCTCTTCAGAGGACGGCATGTCCGGTTTGGGGTCTCCCAGCGACCCTTGCATGTCTCCTCTGGCTTGGAGCGTCACTGGAAAATACCTGGCGTCGGCCATGGAGAAAATGGTCAACATCTGGCAGGTTAACGGTAAGCAGTTATGTTTTTCACTGGCTCCACTGGGTTCTTCTTTTATTAGAGGCCATGTTAATGATATGCTCCATTAGCGTTGTTTCATTATGAAATGTGTTCCGTGGCTCAGCTTGTGTCGGCAGAATATGAATGAGACGGCATTGAGATTTTATCGCTCCCGTTAAAAATAGATGCTCTGGATGTGGTCCAATCATTATTCACTGGCTCCCCCCACACGCCCCGCAGCACCGACCATCTGTCCTCGGCCGCTTTCAGTCGCCTCCAGGACCAACGCCCACGATTCTGATCAGCTTTCATGAGCACATTTTCTCTCTTCTGCCTTTGAAACGTGACTCTGTCTGCCATTGCCATCTTTCTGTGGTTCATTGTTGAGCAATCAGTTCGCACCAAAGTCCATTAAACACCTCGGTATATTTCAGAACCGCTTCTAAAGTTTAGTGTAAACGTACTCAACCGTTGAGAAGTTTGATGTTTTTCCTCTTATTGTAACAGAAATAAAAACAGTATAATGTCCGTGTTCCCCACAGGATGGTGGGCGGATCTTTAGGAATAACATTCAGTACATTTTAAAGTTAAATGCATCAATCTGGTGCAGAATTAAGAAGCCAGATCTGTGAAGAACTTTGTGCTCTTGTTCTAGCAGAGGGGGAATGTAACGAAGTACATTCAGGTTTTTAGGTACTGTACTTTACTTAAGTACTTCCATTTTATGTAACTTTATACTTCTACTCCACTACATCTCAGAGGGAAACATTATACTTTTCATTTCATTACATTTATTAGACAGTATTAGTCACTAGTTTGGCTATTTTGCAGATTCACATTCTTAACACAAAATATAAATAAACTAATGAACTATGATGTATTATTAAGTAGTAAATGTCCTATTATGAAGTATATAAAGTAGGAAAAATGAGCCCCGACATTAAAGTGATGAGCACTTAAATGCATCAATAATTATAATCCAATGACGTAGAGCCTAAAGTCAATGTATTTGAAATGCGTCAGTCTGCATATTGAGTGTACTTTTGGTACGTCAAGTATATTTTGATACCAATACTTTTGTACATAAAAAGTAAAGCTAGAAGAATGAGGACTACTAATAATAAGAGCAGCCGTGGATATAATAGAATAATAATGATAATAAATAGTTGATGCCTCGGCTCCTCCAGTCTACAGTCTGATCAAAAGTTTACTTTCAACTTTTCAATCATCAGAAGGAAATGTTTGAAATGTTTCTTCTACTCCTCTGTTGTTCAGAGAGATCTGTTGTTATTTTAGTTATTATTTATTATTTATTTCAACAGATAAGTCAATTTAAGAACCAGCTCTCATTTACAATGACGACCTTTCCAAAAAGGCAGCAACAGGAAGTCAATACAAGACGAAATAAAACATCTCAAACAATCACCGACAAAATGTACGACATCACAAAATGTACAACATATAAACAAAGTGTTCCTTTAGAGGAAGGTGCAGTGATCAGAGCCCATCGTCTGTCAGTCTGGTTGAACTAACTAAATAACATCTATTATTAATAAAGCGTCGTATAGAGGAGTCCTCCCAGCAGTCCATCTTTGTGGCAGCAGATTACAAACCTTCTGAGCGGTAGATTTTATTTCTCTGACCGGTACAAAGCTCCTCGCTGACCTGTGACCTCCCCTCCTCTCCTTTAAGGCGGTAAGGGCCTGTTGGATGTGCAGCCTCACTGGGTGTCGGCGTTGGCTTGGCCTAAAGAGGAGGCCGAGTCCCTGTGGTGCGGGGAACCCAAAGACATGCTGCTGGTGGGACGGATGGACGGATCTCTGGGCCTCATCGAGGTGCTGGACACCTCCAGCATGCACCGCACCGAGCTGGAGCACTGCTACCGGAAAGACGGTAGGAGCCAGCGGCGCCGTGTTCTCGGTGGTAAATGTTATTTGGAGGAAACTCTTTACAGATGTTTGATAGTAATGTTTCCTTCCCCTCTCAGTGGCCGTGATGCACATCGCCTGGTACAGTGAGGACAAGCCGTTTGCGGTGGGCTACGCAGATGGAAAGCTGCTGATTGGATCCAAAGAACCTTTAGAAAAAGGAGCCATCGTGGTCATCGACGCTCACAAGGTTTCTACTCAGTTCTACTCTTTCTAGGATTCTACTCAGCAAAGTTTGATTTGTTTTTAAACATATTTTATTATAGTTTAGTCCACTTTATTTGTTATCTGTATTTTTACTCTTTGTTGTATTTTACTTTTTCTATTTTAGTTGAATTTTCTTTATTTATTTACTCGTATTGTGATTATTATTTATTTTATACTTAATAATTGTCATTCTATTGTTCATATATGTTTATCATTTTATTCTTTTGTTCTTTGCTATTCTTCTGTTGTAATCTTTAATGAAAGAATTTCCTTTGGTATTAATAAAGTTTTATCTTATCTTTAGTTCATAAGATCACATCTAACGGGTTCAGTTAAAGTGTGTTACATGTGTAAACTCTTTGTGTACAAACATCGATTATCCTGCTATTATAGAATGTATTAAGGTTTAAATGTACAATACTCACACATATTTAACTGTTGTGATATGAAACATTTCCTTAATTGTCTTAAAATCAGATACTTATACAGAAACAAGAATATAGCAGTTAATATATAAGATAAACGTGTCTGAACTTTGGGAGCTACCTATGAAGAACGTTGTGCTCTTGTAAACAACTCTGTGATCGAGGAAACTATTTCATCATAAACACATTGGTTGTTTAGATATGAATAGTGATGTCACAACCACACACGGGGATCCTCCTGCACAGAGCTTCCTAGATTAGTTCGGATTGGATCTCTTCCCAAATCGTCCCTCGCTCACATTCCCGTCTCCTATTTTACTCGTTGACGAAAGTTTCAATAGATCTCGTCATCACGATAAATGAGATTTGATTTGGTTATCGTCACGTTTTCGTCCCTGCTCCTCGGGGCTGAACCTCTGAATCTTGTGTTTCACAGGAGTCCATCACCAGTATGAAGTGGAGTCCTAACGGTCAGATCTTGCTGACCTGTGCCAAAGAGGAGACGGTGAAGCTGTGGGCCAGTCCGGACTGTCACTCGGGCTCCGGCTGGCACTGCCTGCAGAGTCTTCGACACCCGTCCCCGGTGAACGGCGTGGCCTGGTGCGGCCTGCTGGGACGCGGCCCGAAGACTCTCAGCATGTTAGCCATGTAGGTCCTCAAGTACTCGCACCTGATCACACTCACTGGTTTTTATTGCGTTCATGAGGCGTTCATGTTGCAGTCATCCTTTAGATGAGTTCCTCAAACTCATTCTCTTTTATTTCTTTTTTTACAGATGCTGCCAGAACGGCCACGTCTCAGTCTGGACTGTTCCTCAAAACATCTCTAACTTCCCAGATTCCTCTTCCTCTGACTCTGAGGGATGGTGGGAGAATGAAGTAAAACCTAAATTCATGGTACTTACAAGATGTTGCTGTTTATTTTTAAATTCCTGGACATTCGGTGAATGTTGAAGGTGATTTTGTCTCGAATTCTGACCAAGCCTGCAGATTCATCCCAATTGATGACTATTTATTCTCTCCACACGTACATGGTCTTCTTCCACTTACCTGCCGTCCTTGTGTTGCAGTCTTCCCGGTGGTCGGGCAGAGGAGCGACGTGTGTTTTCCAGCTGAAGGGCCACATCACCCCGGTGAGAACGCTGGCCTTCAGCCCCGACGGCCTGGCTCTGGCATCTGGAGGAGTGGGAGGCCTCATGAACATCTGGTCCCTGCGGGTAAGAAAACTCACACAGGATAAATGTAAACACTGCAGATAGAAGTAACACAGATGTACACACACTCCTCTCACACCGTGGTTCATTTTGTGTGTGTGTGTGTGTGTGTGTGTGTGTGTGTGTGTGTG